ATACATTTAATCTTGAAAGTTATTTTAAAAACTTCAATACTTTATGCTAACACTAATTTTTTAGGTTTTTTACTGTACGTTGACAAATTAATAAGGCATTGACGTTTTATCACTTGAGCTTTTTTGCATATACTTTCCACAATATAGTTTATTGAGCAGAGACAATTTGGTAAACAGAGAAGTGAAGTGCATGTATGCCCTTTGCATAGTTTAGCATTATAAAACCACCTATAAAAACATTTATTTTATATGGGAATGCAATAAAGTTTAGCAATATAAGCAAACATATATCATTTTTAGTATTGTTAATGGTGTCAAATAATTAGCTGAAAATAAAATCTTCATATATTTTTTCCTTTGAAACAATAAAAAAATGATTTGATTATCTTTACAAAAATTCGTGCATATATTAATTTTTCCGGCCTTTTTTGAAGCAAACTTGCTGATCACAGCTGTGAAATCTATTGATCTAACTATGTCTTTTTCAATGCAAACTAAAGCCATGTGTGATCTTGCTTAAATGATTATTTAAGCAAGGTCACACATACTTGATCAAATATTATGCGTAACATTTTTAATGACAGAGAAAGTTCTTTCTCATTACAGTTAGTAACAATAAGAGACAATAAAATTCTCAATACAGAGTAGAAATTTCCAAAAGCATCTGTCAAATTATTCTTAACTAGAAAGGTGTACATTTGCAGTTCGACACATTCAGTTTTATTTGGAGGTAACAGTTTGGCAAAAGAAAAGTAAAATGAATAAATTCACGTAGACAGTTAGCATCAACATCTTCAAAATATGCTTCACGTGCAAATGAAGCTTGTTCTAATAAATATGTATTAACCATCTGTTTAAGAACAACAAGCAATTAATCAACTATAGGCAAAAAATACTTTAAACTTATCATTAGTCACCTTAATCTTAGCTATAGTTGTTTTTGTCATTTCGTCTTGTTTCCTCTTTGTACAAAATGGCACCCAGATCTTTTTTTTACTATTCAATTATTGTGAATTGGCTCAAAAGAGAATGAACAAAATCACCTAAAAAATTGAAACTGAGAAACATAGGAAAGGTTTTAATACTTAGAAATTGCGGTTGCATCCCCATCAGCCTTGATAAGGCACGCATATATACACAGTACTGAAATAAAAAACCGTTAAACCGTTATAAAAGATAAGCAATTCTATAAAATTTAATTGGGTATTGGAATTTTTAGATGGTTTTTAGGTGAGAAACCTGTTTGTTTCATTTGGAGGTAACATGTGTCTCCTCAACTTTGCTGTTCTACGTTAGTTCTTTATGATAAAAATATCAAATGGTAAATATAAACAATTGATTTAAAAACTAAATTGGCTATATGTGTCGCAAATAAATTGCAAATTTTGCAAATATATTCATAAAGTTACCATTAATTTAGCATCAATCAAATCACACTGATTAGTTGGATATCAAACCATTTTAGTTGGATATCAAACCATTTTAATTGAATTTATTGCTTGAATATCAATTTGATATCATCTTTTTTGTGGAATTAATTATTTTTAAAAACCAAATAAAAAGTTCATAAGAATATCAGAAAAATCTTTAATTTTCATTTTATGGATTTAATTCATAGCCTACTTTATAGAAGGCCTCGACACCGTGCGGGAATTTTTTTGACTGAAGGCCGATTTAAAACTGTTACAAACGTATTTAAAACTGTTACAAACGTATTTAAAACTGTTACAAACGTATTTAAAACTGTTACAAACGTATTTAAAACTGTTACAAACGTATTTAAAACTGTTACAAACGTATTTTTTGGTTGGAAAAGGAGTAAAATATTAGCTACGTTTTTTCAGAAAAATTTACAGCTATTCTTCAAGTAAATTTAATTTAAATTATTTAGAATGCCTTTAAAATGTTGTGTTCCAAACTGTTCCTCAAATTATAAGTCTTCAGCTTGTAATGTGTTTGTGTATAAATTCCCTCGTGAAGTATGTGAAAAAACTAAAGGTTTATGAGCATCCCTCGTTTAAATTGGACCGTAACAAAATACACCGTTGTTTGTAAATTGCATTGGCCAGATGATGCAGAGTTTAAATTATGTCGTGGTAAATTGAGACCGATTCATCCTCTATCAGTGTTTCCAAATATATCTAAAAGTTATCTATCCTCTCCACCACCTAAAACGAGAAAGAATTTATCTTCTTCTTCAAAAAGAGGTATCAGAAAAGATGAATTAGAAGAATATAAAATAATTGATAATTTAAATTTTAAAGAAATCGAAAAACACTTATCAACTTATAACAATTTGATTTCATACAAGCAAAATAATTCAATTTTCATCCAATCTAAAATATTTAATTGTGGTGTTCCACTATTTTTGCTAATAATTAATCAAAGTTTGTTGTTCGAAGCATTTCATTTTGGTTCAAAATGTACTATTAAAATTCTGGAAAATAACAGAATCACTTCCCTTTGTACAAAGTCATCTTTAAATGAAGCCCTTAGATATCTGAAAGTTGAAGATAAGGATCATAAAACTCAAGTAATGTTTGAGCATTTAAATGTAATGGGAGATCATACTGTTGGCTGTGCTGTGTATTCTCCAGATATAATAACCAGACCTTTTGAATATTTTGCAACAAGTCGTTCCACTTACCATCGATTATGCTATGATTATCAGTTGCCAAGTATTCGAACTTTGACACGCATAACTTCAAAAATAAACTCTCAAGATGATTTAACTTTTTTTAAGTTCTGTGTTATCGAACCTTGATGAAAAAAAAAAGAAATTGCGTTTTATTGATAGATGAAGTTTATGTAAAAGCAGCATTATTATATCAAAGTGGAAGTATTTTTGGAAAAGCTGTTAATAATCCAGAGAAATTAGCTACTACTGTACTTTCATTCATGGTAAAAAGCCTTTATGGTGGACCTGAATTTCTAGCAAGAGTTTTACCAGTTAGTAATCTGACATCAGATTTCCAACAAGAACAGTGCAAATTAATTGTAGACACCATAGAAAGTTCTATGAGTAATGGTAAAGTTATTGCAATTATTTCAGATGGAAATAAAGTTGATCAAAGCTTTTTTTCTAAATTCAAAACCGTAGACGGAAAACCTTGGTTATGTCAAAATGGCTTTTATATTCTATATGACTATGTCCATCTTTTAAAGTGCATAAGAAACAATTGGCTGACAGAAAAACTAGGTCATTTACAGTTTACTCAAAATGAGATAACTTACATTGCAAATTGGAGAGATTTAGTTAACTTATATACACTTGAAAAAAACCAATTAATAAAGTTATCCAGATTGACTGAAGCATCAATAAATCCTAAACCAATAGAACAGCAAAAAGTAAGCACTTGTTTACAAGTATTAAGTGAAGAGACAGTTGCAGCTCTAAAAACCATCCTAAAATAGACCAAGAAAGTGTCAAGGGTACTATTATTATTTTGGAGATGATTATAGAATTTTGGAAAGTAGTGAATGTTAAATGCCAATGCTAGATTTAGGGATGAGTCACGTAATGTAATCAGATCTTCAGATGACATTAATTTAAAAAAGTTACTTGCTATTGCAACAATGGCAGAATATATGAAACCAACATCTGGTAAACGAATTCGCCAGCTTACGAGAGATACAAGCAATTCACTTTCACACACTTGTCGTGGACTAATTGATTTGTCTTGTCATCTTTTATCAAGTGGAAATGAGTATGTTATTTTAGGTTGGTTTTCTAGCGATCCAATTGAGAAATGTTTCGGAAAACTACGGCAAGGTTCTGGTGGTACTTACTTTATAACTGCTAAATCAGTTATCGAAAAAGTACGTATTCAACATGCTAAGCTGGTGCTACAGCTGAATATCGAAGTAGAAGGAAATGATGGCCATGACTGTCTTTTATGTCTTAAAGATTTAGATGATATGGAAATTGATATAATTTACAATTTACCAGATCTAGAAGATAGTATAAATATAGAAACTTTTTATGCTATTGTCTATATTGCTGGTTATGTTCAAAAGTGTTCTACTGAAGAAATTGGTGAAGATACAACTACATATTATGAAAAATATGGAACTTATTTGAATACTTTAAATAGGGGAGGATTAACTATTCCATCTGATACTCTATCTCAGTGGTCTTTATTTTGTTACATATTATTTTCTTTATTAGATAAAAAAGTTTGCAGAACATTTCTGATACAACAGTTTGCTTTTATTGCAGAGTTGTATAGTTTTTCTATTGCAAAGAAACAATGCCAAACACTAGCAAACATTTTTTTAAAGAACTTTGCATTACTTCACACTCCCAAAAGTAATAAAGAAGCAAAACTAAAAGAAATCAAACTTATGTAATTTTTTTTTGGGAAGATTTAGTAAAAAAAAAATTAGATTTGTTATAGGTGTATTTTTCTGATTATTTATTATTTCTTGTATATTCAAAAGTTTGATTTAAAATGTTTCTATTCAACTTTACAAACTATTTAAGCTTATAAAATAGTTGTCAAATTAACGTCAAGAAACTCATTTTATAAAAATGCATCCAAAATTTTTTCAAATAGAATAATTAGTTATTAAATAATTAGTGTTAGCAAAGCTGTACAGCATTTTTCTCTTTTAATAAACCGCCATTTTATTTTTAAATCGGCTTTAGTCAAAAAAATTCACGCACGGTGTCGAGGCCTTCTATAATGTAGGCCATGATTTAATTCTTTCGTTACTTTTTATTTTATAGAGTTACACAAAAAAAAATTGTTTGGTTTAAACATTTAAACATACAACAATTCTATTAAAATTTGCATGCCATTCTTTAAAAAAAAAACTTTCCTAGATAATTCAAACATGGTGTTGTATGTGCAAAAATGTTCCATCATTATGATATTGTATGTGCAACATAAATTGCATCATTGTTAAATTATTCTGATTTGTAAGTTGTTAATTTTTTTCCAAATGTAAACTGCAGTTATGTTATTTTTTACGTAATCAATTTAAATATTTTTTTATACCTTATTACGCTGCAATGCCTTCAAATAGCGTTTGCTGTAACTTTTCAATATCTTTAAACTTTTACGTCAAAACATTGCGTTACTCAAAACATTTTCACCCAACAACATGACAATACTTTAAAAATAAAGTTGCAGTACTTTTTTTTTTACCTTTTTTAAAGAAGCAAAACGTCTGAAAATCTGGCTCTGTTATGTTGTCAACGATACTTTTATGTTATAATAAGTTATTGTTTTAGCTCTGTGATAAAACCATTTGAGGATTTATATGAGTCATATGCTTTATGATTTACACGAGTCATAGTTTAAAAAAAGATATATTTTAAAACACATGTAAACTTGTTCATAGAAAATTTTAAATGCGAGGAGAATTTAGTGAAAAAAGATTATCGAAAATAAAATTTTTTTCACAACATTTTATATAGTTATATTTATTTATATGGGTAGAAGGAATATTTATTGGAGTGTTTTATTTTAAAATTATTTTTAATTATGTTTTTAATTGTTTTAATTAATCTATGTTTTTAAATATTTGTTTTATCAATACATCCTTGTAAAATATTTACAAGACTTTGCCAAATTATTATTGTATGAACATCAAAGTGAGACTATGTTAACTTAAGTTAATTTTCTTGAATTTTTTTTTCTTAAATAACTCGTGAAAAATTGTCTAATATGTATATTATATAATAATATATACATTTATAGTTTTTTTTTTAAACACGATGTTTTGTGTTTTATGTTACTAAGATGAAAATGAAAGAATTAATAATAATATAAAATAAAATGTATTTATTTAATATATGACATAAAGTACAGCAAATAAAATAAAATATAAAATTTTCCTCATTGACACTTTGCAATGACATTACAAATGGAGTATTTTTGAATAAAGAGTTGAATAATAAATAAAAAAGAAAGTGAAAAACAAATTCAATTTTTTCGAAAAGACAATTTTTTTCAATTTATTGGTTTTGTTTAAAACAAAACCAATAAATTGAAAACAATGAAAATATTAAAGAACAAAAGTTGAAGAAAAGCATAAAAATCAGGGACGGATCAAGAATTTTTTGGTGTTTGAGATAGCTAACTTCCAGACATGGAGCAAACTCCAAACATTTATATGTTTATACTTATATCAAATAAGGATGATTTGCAAAAAATTGCAATGATTGGAGCCTGGGAACAAAAAAGCCCCGTAATTTGAGACGTACCCGCCCCAAACGTGAGAGCAACAAGTTGATAAAATATTTTTTGTACTATTCTCAACAAAACCTATATTTATCCATAAATTTTAAATTTCATTGTAAAATATTTCAGCGTTCAAAAATTATGACCATGTAAAGTTTAAATCCCCCTCAGTTCGAGGGGTTTACAATTTTTATATGGTCATAATTTTTGAGCGCTAAAATATTTTACTACAAAATTTAAAATTTATGGATAAATATAAGTTTTGTTGAGAATAGTACAAAAAATATTTTATCAACTTGTTGCTCTCACGTTTGGGGCAGGTACGTCTCAAATTATGGGGCTTTTTTGTTCCCAGGCTCCAATCATCGCAATTTTTTGCAAACCATCCTTATTTGACATAAGTATAAACATATCAATGTTTAGAGTTACCTACATGTCTGAAAGTTAACTATTTCAAACACCAAAAAATGCTGGATCTACCCCTGAAAATTATTAACAAATTTGTAACTTTTTTAATTTTATGGTTAAAAAAATGAATATTAAAAATAAATAGTTATAAAAAATTAGAAAAAAGCAAGCAAAATTTAAATAATTATACGATGGATTTAAAATACAAGCGGAAAAATATCTTTGTTTAGATTTGTAGTCATACAAAATAATTTATTATGAATTATTTTGTCTTTAACTAAATATAATAAATGTTAGCATTAAATAAATGACACTAATAAAAACTCAAATAAAAAAAAAAAATGCATGAATATTTATAATACGTAGAAATTTTAGGCCAAAGCTTATAATTAAAGCTTGAGTAATGTATAAATGCGTCAAACGGATCTTAATGTATTATAAACAAAAATGATCAGCGTGACGTAACAAATGGACAGTTTTAGTCAAAATAATAAATCAGTTTTTGTATTTGTTTATACTTCTTTTACTTTTTTAAAACTTTAACATTTACGGTCTATTGAGGAGCAAACTTGTGTCTCTTTGGTATAAACAAGGTCAAAAAAAAAAATTAAATTGAATATATATAATTGAAGAACATCCGCTGGATGTTTTAAGGACTTCCTTAAGACGTCCAGCGGATTTTCTCTGCCCTCTGGAATGCAGTAGTTAAAGTACAAAGCGACAACAAAGATGCTTAATCATATCAGATACAGTTCTTTACAGGTATGCACATAGCATAGATGAAAATATTTGGCATTCAAGATTGTCGCAACTACTTAAATCAACTCGGGTAAATATATATATCAATTTACCCAATTAGTACTTTTGTAAACTTACAATGATGTCATCACACTATTCACTAACTATTTGCGACACCAACGTCAATCTTATCTGTTTTTAACAATGAATTTATTAAACGCGACTAGCGTATTAAGTGAAGAAAAACCAAAATTCAGCCTTTCTATATAAAAAAAAATTTATCTTTAAAAATCTTTTTAGTAAATTTTGTGCATTTAAAACTTAAAAATATTGGTTTTTGTTTTTGAAGAGGTTCGCTATTTCCATTTTATGTATTTTTTATGTGGTTACTAAATTGATTATTTGCAAATTTTGTTTTAGTATTCAGTGATTATAACTGTTTTAGTAATTTAAAAATTATTTGCGTTTACAGCTAAAAAAAATTTTGTAAAACTATGAATATTGAAAGAGATAATGAGTTAGCAAGTCCTTTGAAAGAGATAATGAATAAGCAAGTTCTTTCTTTTTATTTATTTTGGAGAAAATGCCGAGGAACCAGAAAAAACATTTTAAGATTAGAAACAATGCCAATTCAGTCCAGAAGTGGTAAAAGATGCTATCAAAGATATTCTAGCCTCTAATATATCGAACTAAGATGAGAGTAATCTTACAGATAATCCAAGGAAAAAAAAAGTAGTATGCAAAAGAGTTGCAAAATTTATAGAAAACAGGTGGAGCCATACTAAAGTGCATATCGGTTGAATTTAAAGGTAATGCTGAGGGGACTCTCTTGCCCTTATATTGTTTATACAAGTCAAAAAAAAAAGCTTTAGTTGAACAAAAAAGGACCAGAAGAAACACGCTTTAACAACTCTAAAAGTGGATCCTTTGATGCTGTGTGTTTAGAGAAATGGTTCAAATCAAGTTTTGTATCAAGTGTAAGAAATCAAAATGGGCGAAATGTTATCAATGGGGTAACTTATTTTTAAACATCATTTTTTATGTACATAAGCAATGTGAAGATCAAAATGTTTGGTTTGTTTGTCTTTTTCCAAACTCAGCTATAAAAAGTTGCTTTCTTTGCGTCTATGAAAGATAATGGCGATGAGCAAACGGATTCTACTTTAGACTCTAAATTTTCAACCATATCTAAAGAATATTTTTGACACTGTTTAAATAATGACAAGTATCGCAGTAGATCGAGAGGAATATGGATTTGAAAAGTGTGGATTTTGTCCCCTGAACAAATAAAAACTGCTAGACCGCTTGGCTTTTTCTGACCCCTTAACATAAATTTATTAAAAAATTGTTCGCAAATTTAGATCTGCAGTTAGCAAGTTTGAACCTTTTTAGAGGTAGTCAGAAAACGTCACTAAAAAAGAACCTTAATTTAGCCATTAGTAGACAAAAACAGATTAGTCCAGAAGAGATTTAAAGATCTCTCCAGAATGGCCCCACCCGCGCCACTACTGTTAACATTAATTTTGTTTAACCACTGTAGATTTTGAATAGCTTTGAGTGCTAAAATGACATTAGGTGCAAAGAAAATTTTGTCTGACTTCATTTTCCATGATATCAAAGTTTTATGATATTAAAATGTAATTTTTTCTAAGCAACTTTGTTTTTTCTATTGACTTTTCTTTTTTAACGGATTTCAAAAATGTTTTATATTAAAAACTAAGTAAAACTTAATGCCAACATAAAAAAAAAAACATATGCTTTATAGATAAAAACATATGCTTTATAGATAAAAAACATTTGTTTCATAGATAAAAAAAATGCTTTATAGATAAAAACATATGCTTTATAGATAAAAAACATATGCTTTATAGATAAAAAACATATGCTTCATAGATAAAAAACATATACTTTATAGATAAAAAACATATGCTTTATAGATAAAAAATATACGCTTTATAGACAAAAAACATATGCTTTATAGATAAAAAACATATGCTTTATAGATAAAAAACATATACTTTATAGATAAAAAAATATATGCTTTATAGATAAAAAACAATGCTTTATAGATAAAAAACATATGCTTCATAGATTAAAAACATGCTTTATAGATAAAAACATATACTTTATAGATAAAAAACATATGCTTTATAGATAAAAAATATATGCTTTATAGACAAAAAACATATGCTTTATAGATAAAAAACATATGCTTTATAGATAAGGGCCAAAGTTACCTCAATCCAAATTTGAATTTGGCTCAAGATTATAAAAATGTTCATACGATTTTAAGGATAACTTGTTAGATAATTTAAGTAATGAAAACTAAAAAAATTCAAAAATATTTTTTAAACCTATAATGTTAAATAATTAGAAAACCGTGTATATAATTAGTAAATACTAGTTGTTGCTGTTATCAAAAATCCAAGGTTACTATCAATCAGTTTCTAAGAAAACCATGATGTAACAGTCAAAACTTGTGACTATGATATTCCAAAAATGTAAAAATTTAAATCACCTGTCCGAGAAAAAATAAAATCAGTTTTGAAAGTTATATTTGTTGCACACATAATGCACGCTTTATAGCACGTATAGTGCACGCACAATGCACGCTTTATTGCACGCATATGTGAAATAATATTGTCTCTAAAATTTAGCATTTTCACAATCATAATGAAGTATTACAAGCAACATATGTTAAAGTTATCTACTTGACTTAATAAACATCTTTTTAACATTATATTTTTTCCTTAGAAGTTTGTACTAAAAATATTGATAGTTCTTGATTATCTTTAGTTTGGTTAAATTTCTCTTTAAAAGTTCTTGCTGTTGAAATCAACAAGACACAACACAGGTCTTTTTCCATATTTTGGATGACT